AGTTATAGTGTTGATTGAGGATTAGGCAGTGGAAAAATAGGTGTTGTTGCTTTAGGTGATTGGAAATTATCAGAAATTTATAACGTTAAAGAATCCGAGACGCCTAATTTAATTATAAATTTCAATTCAGAAATATTCGTTTAGTGTTAATTCTAGTAGGCTACGGAGTTTTGATTTTAAACTTTCGTTTAGCCAACAGCTACCTGGGGATTTAGTTATTTTACTAGTGCAGTTGATAGTACTTAAATTTGTAATCGAATTATCTAAACTATGTCCGCATTTTAGGCTGCTACTATGATAAGCCAATACATAAACCCAAATACGATTAGCAACAACGACTATGATGGGTTTATTGATAAATGTTAAAGGCGATTCAGATGATTTCTAAATTTAGAAGACATGGAGATATAGTGTAACGTATGTATGGGCCAGGTTAACATGCAGGTTGTTGACGTATATGACGATTTAAAAATAATGAACATGACCAGAAAATAATTTTAAAGTTTAGACTGCTTGTGAAACTTCAGGCAGGAATATGATGCGTTATAAACATTCTATAAGGAGTTACTGCATTTAGCCTAGGGACACTTACAAATATATAGCAAAAGGAACCGGAAACATATACATGTTAAGTAAAAAAAATCATTAAGTAAAATAGTTGAACTCGCCTGGGTTATTTTTTAAAATTAGATTATTCAGTGGACGACATATATAACGCCATTCGTGATTAGTAATGATCCAAAAGTATCCAGAATAAAACATGCAGTATGGCAAATAATTCTATGGTGCTTGATGCTGTTGACGTTTTTGCCACTCGCTCGGATCAGAACAACCGAATGAATCCAGATAACTGTGTGTGCCATTGAATGAGCCATCTAAAATGAACTTATGATTGCAGAAAACTTATAGCTGGAACTCACCGTATGTTTCTGGAGAAGTGTCATCCTTGTTGTTTGGCAATGGAACTCGAAAATATGAAATTAGGCAGGCAGTGGTCGGAAGAAAAGATATTACGGGATAGTGCATAGTTTAAAACAACATGAGGTGTTAGGTGAAGGAACACTGATAATTAGATCCAGATAACTATTTAGTCCCTGACTGCATTGTTAGTCAATGTATATTTACGCTATTTACAGGTCATATTTGCTAGAGCTTGATGTTTAAACAAGACTATGTCGCTGAAGCATGTAAATGCTATTAAAGCTTGTTAACGAACCATAAAAGCTAATTAGTTGATATAGATGATCAACTTTTATTATCGATTGAGCTAGTAAGTTATGTGAACTAATAGATATAACATTACGATAATATATGTGACCATTAATCAAAGGACTATTAGAATAGTAGGTTTACAAAAATAAAATCCGATTGAGAAGGTTAAGGTGAAAATAAGGATTAACAATAATCAGTCTTCAGTAATAAGGATAGTAGGTTGATGAACCTGTGTTAATCCTGACATATTGCTTTCCAGTGAAGGTCCAGCTTTTCCTTGAAAGTATTCACTGATGGGGCTGATACCACTTGTTCGGGTAAGGCGTTCCAGTCATTGACTACTCGATGAGAAAAACGGGATCCCACTTTAAGTTTATTAGATCGTGGTTTATGAACCTTCTTGCTATGACCTCGGAGATTATTAGTGCTGGAGGGAGCAAAAAGATAAGACATATTAACACCCAAATCATAATTAAAGATACGAAATGCCAGTATAAGGTCACCTCGTGTCCTACGATACGACAAGGAGAAAAGATTTAGGCGTTTTAAGCGCTCATCGTAAGGAAGTCTAGAAAGACCCTTCACTAATTTCGTTCCCACACGCTGGACACGCTCAAGGGAGTTAGTATCCTTTACTAGACACGGGATAGCTGCTTGGATACAGTACTCTAAATGTGGTCTAACATATATGGGATATAAAATTCAAAACGTTTCCTCGTCAAAAGATTTGAACGCTCGGTGAAGTGACAATAAGGCACGAAAACCTTTGACAGCGGCTGCTTTGCAATGCGCAGTTGTTTTTAAGTCATGACTTAATATTACTCCTAAGTCCTTATGCTCTTGAACGCATGGAAGAGGTTTACCCTAAATAGTGTAACGGTAACTATTACCGTGACCGACGTGCATTAGTACACTCTTCCTAGCATTGATTTCTAAGCCCCACTCTCGAGCCCATCTAACTAAATCGTCTAAGCCAGCTTGAAGATCCACATGATCAGCCGCACTTTTTATTGTTCTCCAGATTTTTACATCATCTGCAAACACGAGACTACTCGGAAAATAGATATTCAATATTTAACGCGGATAAATACCTAACGATGGAAAAGACGGGAACAATGAATTGAATCAATGAGAGTTGATCGTACGGCATCACCCGGCCATGCAGGCGTGGTCCCTGCTGAATATTACCTTATATCTCTTATTCATATTGAATATATTGTTCTGTCTCTAGCCCAAGCTTGTTCTCTATCATGTATTGGTAATTGTTACAATATAGTGAGTTGGTGTACACGATGATGTGACTTCCACGTAAGATCTTATAGATTAGGCAGTTATATCATGACAAATCTACAATCATAGAACTCGGTCTATTATTGGAACAGTACTAATATCATAGTGGACCATAATTTTGCATAACTTTCCATATAATTTCCAACGGTTTTATTTGTCCCAATTTAGAGTGCGGAAATATAGTTTTCCTCTCCTCATTCCAAAAGGATAAGGACACTCTGGAACGAATTCAACGACAAGTCACGAAATTATTTTAGGAATCAAGTTCGAACCTTATGAAGAGCGCATTCAATAAATAAACATTTACCCATTAGAGCACAGGCGTCTTGGAGGTGACCTAATGACATACAGCATCTCAAATACTTCTGGACATCCCTTTAAACATCTACTTAAGTTTCGCGCCGACAAGAACCTAAGAGGAATCACCCTGAAGCTGGAGACAGCTCAGCAGAACGGACTGTAGACACACCTTTTAACCCTTAAGAGTAGTCAGATGCCGGAATTCGCTGCCGTCTAAGCTGGTCCAAGAGACTTCTCAGGGTTTTCAAACTGTAAACATTCGGAGAAAAACGATCTTCAAACCACTCTAGGCGGTAATGGAAAATTCTCCACAGGATTAAAAATGTGCCACACAAAAGCTTGCAGCCTTTTGAATAAAATGGCGAGGCCCAAGACAATCTTGGATAGAGAAAAACCGAATGATATTGCAGTCTCAGGAACATAGTTAGCGTCAGAAGTGTTCGATAATGAAATTCAGTTGACTGGTTTTTTATCCAGTGGGGCTGATACACTAAACCCCGGAGGAAGCGGGCTTGTCCTGTATACGGAAAGTACTTTAACCACACGAACAGTTGAAACAGTGGCACATGATTCAGGAACATGTGAACTGGTTGCGTTTCAAGCTGAAATGTAGGCGGCAAGATACTGAATTAGTTGTTGAATATCGCAGTTCAGAATTTGTAATAGACGACACCTTTCTTAGCAAACTTAAGTCCTGGTGTAGTACGGACAAAAGCCTTATGGTAGGTGACGTGTATAAACTGAGTAAACTTGGAAGTGAGGCCATCGATAACGTCATTCGATTGCAAACTGTTAGAAACATCGATTGCATTACCTTTATTCAAACACATTAGAGGTTCCACAAGAGATAATTTACGAAGCTCCTCTTCTCCTCTCCATTTAGTCTTCAAACATGGTGATGACATCGGCCAAATGACCTTCCTCCCACCACTAGAAAGAGGCGGTCTTGCAGTCATATCACTCAAATTAATGGCCGAACTTTCCTGTCAAACAGTTGAGCTCACACATCCTAATATATGGAAGGCAGACATGGAGGCAATCAACTCCTCAGCATCGGCTGAGAACTGAGAAATCAAGTCAATGGCATCAGCACAAGGAGCATGGACTCATTTCAGGCAGATATACGATCAGGCAACTCAACCATGCATACCCTGGACAGTCGCAAGAAGAAGAAGAAGCACGGCCATCTCTGGATAGGCCTGCATATTCGATGTTTAGTAAGACAAGAGAAGAAATGTTGGAATGTTGCTATCAGTCTTGGCACAGCAGGTACCATGGAACGCTGCAGATCGGTAAGAAACACGTGTATAATTAAAATTCGGGAAGCTCAGAGAAAATATGTGATGCGATTGGCACAATCTGCACTCAAGCAGCCTGACAGAATATTCTCGTGGATAAATTACAGAACAAGGATGCATTGTTGGATCGCCAACCTAATTGAAGAAGGAAGTGAATCTGAAATGATAGAGGAAGATCAGGAAAGAGCAGAGGCTATGGCTGAATATTTTGGTTCAGTTTTCACTCAGGAACCTCCTCTAGACAAAGAACCAGACCAAACTACAGAGTCAACAAACCAGCTGCTCACCGTGGACTTCGACCAAAACGATGTGCTTAAGGCTCTTAGCACTTTAAACGTGGAAAAGTCAACAGGACCAGATGGACTACACCCCAAAGAATAATCAAACGGACCATAATGGCATTTATGGAAACCAATTAATTGCTAAACATGGAACAATATGGTTTAAGAAATGGTTTATCTTGTACAACAAGCCTCCTTATAGCAAGGGAATTTCGGATAAATGCGCTAGACAATGGAAACTCAGTGGATGTTGTCTACACCGATTTCAGTAAGGCTTTTGACAAGGTGCCAACTAATAGACTGCTCAGTGTTATTTATCGTGTATGTATCTGTGCCTTGATGACCGATATGCATCACAACACACTTGGAAATATTTATCAGCAACTGCCAGGTTTGAGACCATTCAGATAATTTCTTCAGGTTATTTTGGAGTTCTAAGCTACCACCTTCACAACAGACACTCATATAGTTGGAAACTACCATGTTCATTACAGCATTCACAACCTTTAAAGTTTTTTCATGGGTAACAAACAACGTGAAGTTATCTTATTTTGTATTTTAAATTTGAGTTTTGCACTCCATAGTTTGAATTTAGGAAAACTGGGTCAAAAACGCTCTCACTTTAAAATCTTGCGCTGTCTCGCCATGGCTGGCGTATTTACAATGTTGGCAGTTCGCCGACTGTTCAGTAAAAATATCGTTTTAAGACATTTGAATGCTACTAAGTCTGTCTCGTGTCCAAGTGCCAGATGTATTTCAACAGTTGAAGGCGCCCAGAAAACTTACAAACCAAATTTGGCTCTCCGTGTTTCTGATGAAAATGACTTGACTGATATAGATAGGTTTCTGCGCAAACAAAGAATTAAGGGTGCTTTGTACAGCCGCGACGAAAATGAGCAGGCTACAGAACGTTTTTGGAGTCGGATTCTAAAAGGTACAGTACTTATTATATTCATAGTAAAGCAGCTGGGGATATGGACTTGATCGAAAGATATCTAAATATGAGAGTCAAATTAGGACTTCATAATGACCCGGAAAAGGTTTTAAAAGATATGCGAGGTGCTGGATTGACGCCTAACTCCGTAGGTTCAGTTTATCAAGTAATGTTGCTTAGTGGATATACGCCTCCTTTATATCTCAAAGTTGTGCTGTCGGAGATATGAATCAAACAAAGTACCCTGTCAATATATAACATTAATTTCAGCTTTTGCTTGCGTATGCTCCGAGATGCTGGATTCAAGCCCAATCGTTACATTTTTTCCCAGATTTTACACGGTTACGTGAAAGCCGGGTAAGTGTTAACTGTTCACACGGTATTTGCTCATGATAAGCCCTAAATTATATAGATAGTGTTTTCTGCTCTGATTATGTTATCACCTGTCTGCTTGTTTTCGGTATTCGCTGCACCTCCTTGAATCCAGAATCCCGAAACCTTTTATCATTACATATTTTTACATCTGATACTGTCACTGCTTTCATTACTCTGAAATGTCTGAATAATCTAATACATCTGCGATAACATGGTGTAACAACCCTAACTGATGTATGTGACAGGTATTACTTTGTATATGGCTGGTTATAGTTTAAGGATCTAGGTAGTAAGCCAACCTGTGATAGTGATTAGAATAATCGTTTTACAACATCCAGTAATTTTATCTTATGGTAAGCAGGGTGTTGGTATGAGTGACTTAAGTAAACGCTATGGTACCCTTCCTGACCAGTAGTTTGTAGTTAGTCATTATTGACGCTTTAGGTAAAAATCTAAAAATAGAAAGAAACTTAACGTCCTGGCTAGAACAGAAGCCAAGGCACAGGCCGGATACATTGGAACGATCGAGTAAAGAGAAGCATTACAACTGACAGGCGAGAATATCTAGAAGACCTAGCAACTGCTGCAGAAAACTAGAAGAGGTAATGTGAAACAACTATATGGCAACGAAAAAACGGCGAGACTCTAATTTAGTGACGACCTTTGAACGAATCTTAAATGACCTTGACAATTGTTAGCCAATCAGAAGACAGTTAGTATAAAGTGAGAATATATTGTAAGTAATGAACTACAGTGGATATTCTTTTTTTACATGATTTAAAAACGTGTTAAGGTTTGATGAAGGTTCAGATGCTCTCAATTCATAATGCATATTGTATAGAAACTCGTCTATAGGGTTAGTGGTTAGGGTTGTAGCCTGTCAATATACATCTCTTCTCTAAAATCCGATGTAAACCGATCGCATGTTAGCACCCTAACCTTAACCTAACCCTAAACCCTAATCTAACCCTAACCTTAGCCCTAAACCCTAATCTAACCCTAAACCCTAACCTTAGCCCTAAACCCTAATCTAACCCTAACCTTAACCTAACCCTAAACCCTAATCTAACCCTAACCTAAACCTAAACCCTAATCTAACCCTAAACCCTAACCTTAGCCCTAAACCCTAATCTAACCCTAACCCTAAACCCTAACCTTAACCTAAACCCTAATCTAACCCTAAACCCTAACCTTAACCTAACCCTAAACCCTAATCTAACCCTAACCATAAACCTTAACCTAACCGTTAACCCTAACCCTAACCCCAAACCCTAACCCTATGGACGAGTTTCTATACAATATGCATTATGAATTCAGAACTTCTGAGCCTTTATCAAACCTCAACAAGTTTTTAACTCATGTAAAAGAAGAATATCCACTGTAATTCATTACTTCCTTGTAATATATTTTTACTTTATACTGTCTTCTGATTGGCTAATAATTGAAATTGCTCAAACGCTTCTCATTGGCTCGTCCCTAAATTAGAGTTTCGCCGTCCCATCTGTTTTAACCTCTCATTAATCACCTCCTCTCTAAAATCCGCTGTGAACCGACCGTATGTTAGCATCGCGTGTTGAACTTGGCTCCGTGACCTTGAAATTGCTCAAACGCTTCTGATTGGCTCGTCGCTAAATTAGAGTCTCGCCGAAAAAACTAGCAGGGGAATGTAGTAAACCAGAGTGACTAGTCAAAAATTAGGTAGGCAACTCAATCATTGAGATTCAGGAGTAGTGGAATACGTAGTTAGAGTTCCCGGACAGACCAGTTTTTTAAATTCAATCAGTCAGTAACAACGTAGAACTTCGTACGTACGTACATCAGTCCGAGTTGCCACACCACATTAGCACAGAGACGCAGTTGTCGACTCAAATCACATAGTGGTAGAGGTGGTAAGAGTATAAGCAGTAATCGGGAAGATTAGTGTTTGGAGATGTTACTTAAAGAGTATAATCCAGTGAAATAAATTTGGGAAGAGACAAGGAGAATTCAGATTAGAATTTAGGAGAACACAAAGAGTCGATTCACCTGCGCCATTACAAACGATTTTGAGCCGTGTCATTCAGGGTCTCTAACCATCGGTTGCTATCATCTCGCGGTCCCCAACCAGGTAGTCTACACCTACGAACATGGCTCAGTCCACTTGTCAGTGACTTCATGGACTTGTGCCATGTTTTGGTCTGGCCGCCCCTAGCTTTCTTCCAACCTACTCCTATACCACTGAACATCGCATGTCGAGGCAGTCGGTCGTTGGGCATACGTAACACGTGTCCCAGCCATCTCAACTGATGAAGTTTCACTACGTCATCAATTGATTTGCCATCCTTACCTAGTACCCGTTTCCTAACAACTGCATTACTTACTCGATGGTCCCAGGATATACGAGCAATATTTCGAAGACACCTATGATCAAATACTAGTAACCTACGAATATCCTCTACTCTTACCGGCCATGTTTCGCTGCCATAAAGTAGGACGAAACGATCTGCTGCGCAGTAAACACGTCCTTTGGTTGATAGACGGATATCTCGCCTACGCCATGAATGACGCAAGTTGGTAAAAGCTAGTCGAGCCTTCTGTACATATTTGGTTTTTTATGTTTATTCTACCAAAGATAAAACTATTGGCTATTGTCTTCACTCCTAACAGTATATGGCTTGTAATACAGCATATCTATAATTGTTTAGTTGCATCATCGGCTGGTCTTTCGACGGATGTTCTACTAGTCGATCTTGCTTCCTAATTGGTACAATCCATCGCGCCTCTAGTGACGTTTTATGTTGATCCACAAGCATATCATCTTAGTGTTAAATCGTTTACATTTTATCCACATAATTATTTCCACCTCCGTGCTACAGCTTCCAACCTCAACTCACTCCAGTCTAAGATATTAGTTATAATCACTATCCAAGTATATTGTCATCAAGTTATAATAACATTTACTTGTTCTGAACACTGAATAAAATTGTTTAAAATACCTTGGTTTTATTTTGAGTTAATTTGTATTCTCTAAACTTCAAAACAACCTTTCAGACTACCTGAGGAAGTTTCTTCTACGCAGGAGTTACTATCCCAAATAGGTTTGTGGCCATCAAAGTTTGCATATGAAGGCCTTTTGTCCGCTTACGCTGATATTGGTGACAAAGACAGTTTATTACGAACTCTAGATGAGGCTTACGCTGTACTCCCTTCAATAGATGACAAAACAGCATCCCGTGAAATCTCACCTATTTTACTCTTGGATCTGTACACAAGATTAGTGTGTTCGTTGGCATATACTGATGCAACGTGCAGTGAGGTATTTGGTCAATTTATTGTTATGTATATTTGAATTTGGTATTTTACTCTATTAAACTATAAATCTTTCCAAAATAAAATGTGAAGGATTTTTACAAATTGTATTAATTGTTCAACATACTACCATAGATGTCGCTTCATACGATCTACAAAATTCATTCTTATATGAACTTGAGTAACACTGTAGAAACCGGGGTTCACATTTTCTAAGCTAATAACTTTCTAAACAGTAAATTTCACCTCATGATAATAAAGTTACTTAAAAAGCCGAAACATGTAATTTCTCGTGAATTTCTGCATTGAGAATTGTGTGGGAGTAGATGAATGTAGATCAGGTTCTCGTTTTTGTAGATATAACAATATGCATTAAATCTGCTAGATAATGTGACTCCCAGCTGTTTGCCCAGCTTCTGTCTGCGTTAATGTAGTTCTGCTCCCTCTGTCTTGATTTTGTGCAATTTATTATATCAGTCTAATCATATTTCGACCAAGCTCTATTCAATAGCCTATTCAAGATTGTATCTAACTGTTGATAATTTGTTCCACATATTTTTATTTATTAACCTACAGATTACAACAAAATTACTTACAACAGATTACTTTCCGTTGGAGTTTGCTATTGACACTGTCAAAGTGCTCTTAGCGAAAGGACGCCCAGCTGCTGCTCTGGAAATTTTCAAAGTAATACATAAGTATCAAAAACAAAATGATCATCTATCTTCATTACCGGTTTATGCTGCTGCTGGTGGTTTGGTTAGTCACTTTTTTGTTTATATGTACTACACAATTCAAGCGTTCCCCCCAATTTTGTTTTTGCTACAGTTTCACTCTTTCAGCTGTTTGGTTTATTCGTGAAGCTTATTGTTCTGAACATCAGCATAAACTTCAGATAGAAGTAAAAGCGACATATTCGAATCTCTCTACGTATGACTGATAACTTGTCTTGTCGACTTTGATCTCTTAAATACATCCGTTACACCTGATGGAGAAAATAGGCCTTCCATGTACGACTTTGTAGTGTAGTCCGTTGTAAGAAATCCGTATGATGTCGATGATCTCCTCAGTTACTCACTCCATAATGTCAAAGTCGGTTCCATAAGGTTCTCCTACCCATGCCGTCGTTTGATTTCTCATAGCCAAAGAAGGTGATTTATAGTGAGACGTTCCATATAATTGATTGCCCAACAATGATCTATAGTTTCGCGATTTGGCGTGTGCTCGCCTGGTCCTCACAGAATCCAACTTGTTGAACTCGGAGTTGAGCGTCTACTGAATTTTCCATTCGGTTCAGCAACACTGTTGAGAACTTATCCTGATACCGATAGTAGTGTGATTCCTCTGTAGTTTTCACATTAGCTGATATCTCCAGTTAGTTGGCACTTGCTCTTTCTCCCAAATGTTCCTGAATGGAGAGCAGAGCATGTTTGCAGTTACTTCTATGTGTGACTTCAGTACTTCAAGTGGTATATTTTCAGTTCGTGCTGCTTTCCCACTATTGATTTGTCTGATGACGGGCCATTCTGGTCTCTTCGTTCGTTTGTGTAGTGACAACTATAGGAGGGTCTGTGTGTGATGCTTCGATGTCCGTTGGGTTAAGTGGGGCGGGTCTACTCAAGAGTTCCTCGAAGTATTCTACCCATCTGTTCTTGAATCTCTGTGATAGTCTTATCCCTTTTATCCTTGACCGGTCGCTCTGATTTACTATATTTCCCTGTCAGTTTCTTCGTCTTGTCATATAGTTGTTTCATATTTCCTCCTGTTGTGACTTTTTCCCTCATCGTTGCTAGGTCTTCCATATATCTTTGTTTGTCAGCTCCAATGTTCCTCTTCACTTACTTGTTGCTTCTGTGTATTCAGTTTGTGCCTTGACTTTCTCTGTTGTCAGTTTCTGTCTTCTTGTTCTTCCTTTCTTGAATCTTGTTGAGGGTTTTGATGGAGATGTATTCCTTATGGTGATGCTTGTTGCGACCTAGCATTTCCTGAAACGTTGATGTTAACGCCTCTGTGATCCCTTTCCAATTGTCCTCCATAGTATTTTCTTCTTCTTTGAGTAAATCTTGTACGGCTTGAAACCTGTTGTTGAGAGTTATCTTGAATTGGTTGAGTTTGTCAGTATATCGAAGGAAGTCTGTATTGAACTTTTAGAGTACTATTTCTCCAGTTGTCCAGTGTTTCTCTAGCATCAGTTTTCTTCTTGGCAACCACCAGGTAGATGGTGATCTGAAGCTATGTCAGTTCCTCTCCAGGTTCTCACGTTCTCCATTGACCTTGTGAATATTTTAATGATGCAAATATGATCGAGTTGGTTTTGTGTGGTATAATCCAGTGAGACACACGCAACTTTGTGTATGTGTTTGTGGAGAAATATAGTAGTACCACCTATGATCATTTTTTTGAATGCATACTAATTTGCAAATCTGTCACCATTCTCGTTCGTTTCTCCCAATCAGTCAGTGTCGTTCCACGATATCTGGATACTCGGTGTTGTCCACTCCGAATTTAACGTTTAGGTCTCCCATCATGTCCTTCCCTGCACACATGGCTACGATTGATTGTGGCCTCATAGAACTGATCTTTATCATCATCATTGCTATCATTGGTTGGTGCATAACATTGTGACTCCCTCCTTACCTTCTTTTGAAAGATGCGTTGATTATTCCGGGTTGATAAGGTTTTCATCCTGTGAGTGCTCCATATGCTTCTTTGTACATTATCAGAGCAAGTTCCTGAGTGTGTAAAGCATTTCCTTCTTCGTAACCAGAGTGCAGCAGCAGCTCTCCTGAATCTAACCTTTACTGTGCAGATTTGGTTTTCATTGATTCCGTGAACATTCATGTTGTATCTCCGCATTTCCTTAATTATTAGATCAGTCCTTCCAGTCTCGCACATTGTCCGAACATTCCAATTATCTATGTTAACCGTTGCTGTTGTTGCTAGAATGGACATTGACCTCGTGGCTTTCGAGGAATCTTGACTTTCACCATGAGGTGTCATAATTCTTCTGAATGAAGCTCCTTCAACTCCTAATGAAGAATTTAAATAGTTTAATTTGTTCCTGTCGTTCGGCGCTTTCGGCAAGGTTGTTTTCGCGTAATAGTATTGCTGACTCTGTGCCAGACCCTCCTCTTTTTCTCGAGCTTAGAACCGGTGTATCACTAGAAGGGCTGCAGTTGAAGTTGCCACTTCTTCAGAGGAATAAACAAATTAAATCTACACAAGTTTAAATAGTGCAAAGGAGCAGAGCAATGTTAATGGCATTAATCGAAAAATCTCTGACTACAGTTGAGAATTTTTTCTGTGTGAGTTGGTTCCCAATATACCTTTGCTTTTTTTTATTTTTTCTGTTGTGTTTCTTGTGTCTAACATGTCTAAAAATGACAGTTTTTGTCCGATTCTTCCATTGTTAAGTTTGTGTACTCAAAGATATTCTCCAGCTCCTTTTTAATGTTTACGAATTTATCATCTACATAAAGCTGTAGTTTCAAAGGACATTATCATTTTGTCGTCATTGATTTAAATTTCCCTAGTCTTATACTTTAATTGTGTGGAAGACGTAATGATATAGACGGATAAGTTCACCAAAGGTTTCAGTATTTAACTTCCTCCTGATAAACTATATGTTAAGGTTCCGAGGAGTGATTAGACTGGCCGTAGTGGGGTATTTGGTTTGTGTAGTTTCAGCCCACCATAGAATAAAAAGAGAATTTATTCATTGTCTTTCATTCGTGATTTGTCTTATATCGATATTAGTCTTGCTTTGTCAAGCTTTTTTGACGCTTTGCAAGTCTTTTTCCAACCTTTCATTGGATTTGTGTCCGTTGTTTGTATATGCTTATATCCTCAAGTAGCTTATCAATTTTTCATTCATCGTTCATAATTACTGTGGCACATCTCTTACTTTCGAGTATTATGAACTTGTCTCTTTTTGAGTTTCTTCATGGTATTTCCTGTGCCCTCAGTTGAATATGGTTTTTCTGCCATTATATTTGGTCATTAGTAATCTAGTCCAATCTATTTAGTAGATTGTGTTAAAGTGTGTTTTTTCAAGTCGATTGCATCATTGTTTTGTGTCATTTGCCGGATATTTCAATCAGAGTTGTCAAGTATTTTGGTGAGTATTCTAACATTGGTCCAAGATTTGTTTGTCCATTCACTTAAAAGAAAAATCTTCCAAGTCATTGTTTATTTTATCTCCATACCTAACATTAAATATTTATATTTGCACCTCATCTGTCTTTGTTTTACCAGGATTACAAGGCACTAGAACCTTTCTGGCATACAGCTAATGTGGATAGTAAAGAGCTGTTTATGCTTAGAAATAAATGTAAATTGTGTAAGTAATATGATTTGTAATGTTCATATTTGTATAAATATAACCGTATTGAACTTTGTCCAGTTTAATAGACAGAATCATCCGCCTAAGTGTTTGCACTCGTGGTTAATTTTTACTACTGTTTTGAATTCATATCTTTTTGTGGTAAACCTTATAGAAAATACATACCTACATTGTAAATACTTTCTGCAGTGTTATTTCAATGGGTTAAAACTGACATATCAGTTGTACATTTTGAGTAAACTAGCTGTCTGTTTGTTGCTGCTGCTGTGTGTGATATGTTTTGCACCAGGTTTAGCATATTGTTATTTTTTAATCGATTCTTGTAAATTATTGTTCCATTCATTGGTCGCTGCTACTGTTTCTGTTTGTAAATTGAAGTGGATTTTACAAAATAAGATATAACGACTGTAAAACGATGCATTAATTGTACATTACAAACTCATTCATGCCTTAGTAGATAACCAGGACATCTGAACTTTATGTTCCCAAAGTTTTTACATTTTCTGCTATTCACTATTTTAGACATCCATATATTCACGTGTCCAAATATTGTAGCTGGGTAGTTTTCAAGACCTTTATTTGCATATGTCGTAAAAAGTCTTAAGAAGAAGTAGTTATTTATTTCATAATTCTTGTTTAATTTCACTGTTTTCATTATAATTTTGAATGTGTATTATTGTCGTGAATCACAGGAGCAAACTTGTGTAATTTACCCAACATTTCATCCATAAACTTAATTCTTGGATAATATTTTAATTTTGATTCTGTATATCCATCTAAAGAAAAGTTCTCTCTTTAGATTTCCATCGGATCGGTAAAACAAACAATAAATTGGGCGATCAATTTCAAACCTGTCTTGAAGAGCACAACGTACAAGGTTGGTTATTTATCAAAAAGTGTAAAGCTATTAAAACTAACTTGCCATCAGTTTAATTCACTACAACTTATGCCTGTTACCCCTCGTGGAGGAGCATAGGCCACCCATCAATATTCTCCATCAAACTCTGTCATGGATAATCCTTTCCAGTTGCTACTCATCCTTATGATATCTACTTCCAATTCTCGACACAGCGCTCTTTGGTCTTTCTCATTTCCGTTAACCTTCAGGATTTCAAGTTAGAGCTCGCCTCGTGATGTAGTTTGATGGTTACCCTAATGTATCTCGTATCCACTACCGTCTTTTCGTGATTTCTACTGTATGGGGCAAAAACCTGGAGAACTACGAAAGCCATCATCCAGAAAATACAAGTGTTTATTAACAGTGGTCTACGCAAAATACTTCAGATCCGTTGGCCGGTCAGTCAGTCAGTCAGTGAGTAACAATGTAGAACTTCGTACGTACGTACATCAGTTCGAGTTGCCACACCACATTAGCACAGAGATGCAGTTGTCGATTCAAATCCCGTAGTGCTAGATGTAGTAAGATTATAAGCTGTAATCAGAAAAATTAGGGTTTGAAGATGTTATTCAAGGACTATAATCCAGTGAAATAAGTTTGGAAAGAGAAAAAAGAAAGGGACATGAAAAAATCAGAAGATTAAAATTTGGGAGAACACAAAGAGTGGATGCACCTGCGCCATTGCAAACGATTTTGAGCCATGTCATTCAACCGTTGGCCGGACACTATTAGCAACAAAGTACTGTGGGAGAGAACAAACCAGATCCCAGTGGAGGAAGAAGCGCTGGAAGTGGATAGGACACACATTGTGGAAGGCACCCAACTGCATCACAAGACAAGACCTCACATGGAATCCTCAAGACCAAAAGAAAAGAGGAAGACCAAAGAACACATTACTTTGAGAAATGGAAATAGACACAAGAAAAATAAACAAGCATCGGATGGAACTAGGAAAGAAGGCCCAGGACAGAGTGTGTTGGAGAATGCTGGTCGGCGGTCTATGCTCCATTGGGAGTAACAGGCGTAAGTAAGTAAGTAACTCGTGATGCAGTTTGATGGTTACCCTAATGTATCTCGTATCCACTACCGTCTTTTCGTGATTTCCTCCTCAGCTCAAAGTCGGATTGTTCTTTCCCACAGTTAGCTGTTGTTGATGGTATCCAGCCAATCGATTTTGAGTATATCGCGTAGACAACTATTTATAAATACGTGTGCCTTTTTGATGATGGTTGTATTAGTTGTTGAAGTTTCAGATTTGTACAGTAGAACTGTCTCGACGTTCGTATTGAAGATTGTGGCTTTGATATTGTTTGACATTTGTTGTAAGTTCCAGATATTGTTCAATTGTAGGAATATTGCTCTTGGTTTACTGATCCTCACCATTACATCTGCATCAGATTCTCCCTGTTCGTCGATGATGCTGACCTTGTCATGTGCTAAAAGTTTCCACCTGCTCCAGAGTTTGTCCATCAAATGTGATTTGTTTGGTTTGTGTTCTCTGCGTTGTATTTGAGGATGTTGGATTTTACCTCGCGTATGTTAGGACCTACTGATGTAGTCTTCTGCTACACAGGTTGTTTTCATCTGCATTTGTTGGTGTATATAAAATAAAAGTGTTGGGTCGTCTTGGAAGTTCAAACCGTCTAGTTGCATCTAAGCTTTTCATTGTATTCCGTGCTTCCCCTCACATGTGTGGGTCTTCATAATCTAGTCAACCACCATATGAGAGAGAGGGAAAGAGTAAGCTGCCTTATCTGACACCAGTTGTCAATTGAAATGCGTCTATAAGCTGTTATCCATGCCCGACTTTGTAGTGTAGACCGTCGTATGAATGCTGTATACTACAACTTAGCAATAACTTAAAAATAATTATTATTTTATGTTATTCTTATAATATATTTATTCTCTGTCTTCATACATTTAGCATCATAGTGTTGTTTTGATTTGGTCAATCCTCATTAACGTAGAGCCTGGGACAGATGTCCATTGGCTCAATTCTTCATATCATATTAGGACTTCAAGATGTAGATAACAAAAAGTATGTCAAAAGAAATCAAAATAATGTAACAATGATAGTGAGAAGGAATAAGCGTGAAGTAATTTAAAACTACAAAGTTGAAAGTTATTTGTAAAAGAAATATCGGTATCTAAGATTGAGAGGAAGTTCCAGAGTATAAAAAACTGGGCCACCATTCAACTCTGCTTAAAATGCTTTTGGCTGAATAGATTGTCGACACAATCTGCACATGATAGACAAATCCCAAAGGAGACTAATCACTTGCGACCTTAAAAAACAGTGAAATGATTCAAACAACCAGTACGCATGATTATCCCATACCATCTCACGGAAAGTCTCTGAACACTGGTTGTGGTTGTTGCGCACACTCCTACCAGGGAGTCTGCATCAATTAGTATAGTTAAGGACCAAACAGTCAACAAATTCGTGGACTACTGTCATGTTTTAGATATTTCATCGTTAGTCTCCCGACTTCCACTACAATGATCCACTGAAAGCTATTTCAACTCTGAGCCACGCAGAATAAGAAATTTGGTATCAGTGAAACAATCTCTAAAGCTGACGATACCCCAATTAGCAATGTTCAAATACGTCGGAAACGATTAGCCGAGTTTTCGAAAAGCAGTACAACTGTTCTGTTGCCCCAGTCATCGATTAGTTTATTCTGCTCTCCGTGATCGCCGACGAATGGACCACCTAACAAAAGAAAGATCCACATGGAACTCCATCTTATAAAGCGTTATAAGTTAGCGAGACCAAACAGTTCACCACTGGTTATTTTTTGGGAACGTAGCAAACCTCTGATCAGGAAAGTGATAGGTCTGTTACGAAAAGCATAAAAAATTAAGTGTCCCAACATCTTGAACTAAAACAAAAATCCTACTTATCCTTGAAAAAGGCTTTGTCATCTAAACAATAGCTATCAGAGTCTACTGTCGATTGCATTCAAACGATTGGCTCCCGTCATACTACACAGGTTGATCAAAATTCTTGAAAGTCTGATACGGGTGCGGGCAAGGTGGTTTCCGTTCTGATAATACTCAGGATACATTTTATTATTCGGTACAATGAAATGATGCAACTCAGTGTCTTGAGACTTTGTCAGAAAGGGCTTAAATTAGAAGCCAATGGCGATCCCATCGCAATCTCTTTTACATTTCTCTTGACAGGAACAAAGCAAACTAAACGAAGTATTTCGGTTTGGATTTTCACCTGAATTATATCTTTAAGGACATGCTATTAAAGTAATAATCAGAAACTGTGACGGTAACTAGATTCGACGCACATGTGTCAAGTCCTACTTTACACATGACTGACTGGTGCGAACTTCCAAGATAAATTTTTAAAGGAGTAGTGTATGGCTTCTGTCCAGGAAGTTCTACTCCTTGCCTTAAGCCAATAGGGATATATTTGTATAAGAAAGTAAAAAAATGAAAAGAGGAACTTGAACCTTTATGGTGTGCATAGGAGATACATCTATGAGACATTACAAACCCTGATCACTCACTATGTTTTTCACATTACGCAAAATTTAATCCGACAAATGCTTTTTAAATCCTGCAGCTTGCGTTTGTTTCTTTTCAAAGACTACGTTTCACAGCTGTGAAGTAATACGTTGGGAGCTGATCCCGTCACGGACATCCTACTTACACTATTTATGATGTATGTTGTCTAAGGTTAAATCTTTGTCGCAATTTTGTTAGATGCCAATCTACCTAAGCAACAATAAACTGACAGCTGAGAAAATCAGCTTTGAGAATTTTCTGTCTCTGGCTACTTTTCTGTTCTGATTATTGACAGTATGTACTCAGCATATTTGCTTGACTTCTTATGCAAGTATTATGTTGACTTTGTGTTGATATTTATCTGTTCAACCTAATGATACATTAATTATTTTATTTCCTATTTAAGCTTTACTCCTACATTCACTGTTATACTCGTTTATGGTGTAAAAGCTTGTTATTATGTTCACTACTTTTTCTGTAGGCGCTCTTGATTTATTGAAGAATCTAAATAAAACGAACATTACATTAGCGTATTCATTGTTTCTACCAAAATTAAACCGCTCGGGGTTTTCTTTACAGGACTTAATCAATCAAACTCAAGTACGTTTTATACGTATTATTATTTTTACTAATCTTGAATAAATCTTACGATACGGGTATTCGTCAATATTAGAACGAATAGTCTGCCGAATATAGAAAAGCCATTATACATGTAAATTATATTTGAAGTAATCTGGGCGACAGAAATTCAAATAATTTTGATCTTGGTTACCCTGAAGAAGTTTACTCAAGTTTGCTGGACGAAACGTTGGAATCACTTAAACTTCAACCTCTGAGATTAAGTCAAATATAATTTTCACATATAATTAAATCTTAGTGTTAGTCTGTATGAGTTTAAATATAAAGTTATTTATGATACCTGAAGTTATCTGAAGATCTTTAATGCCTTATTCAAAAAGTTACAAGTCCCAGTCCTTCGGCACTTTGGTTTGAAAGACCGGGTGGGCCACGTGCTACGTATGCCTGAACACCGATTACCACGACGTGCAATGCTAACCGGTGTTAGAGATGGTTGGAAGAAAGTTAGGGGCGGCCAAACCAAAACGTGGCATCAGTGCTTGCAGTTACTATCTTCTAGTCTCAGCCATGTTGGTAGATGCAGACTACTTGGTTGGGATCCTCGTGACTATCGTAACCAATGGTTGGAGACTCTTGGTGACATGCCTCAGAATCGATCACAATAGCGTCGGTGTATACACTCTCTGTCTTCCACTAAACTAAGAAGGTTAAAATTCTTCATGTACTATATTCTTATTGCAATCTTTCTTTTATATATAACCACCTCTGTATTAACTACTTTTATGAATCCGGTGTCCATCTTGTTGTGTTAATGAGGTATTGCAACTCGAACCGATGCATATATGTGCCTGGTCCTACGTTGTAGCTGACTGACCAAACCTTGCCAAATGTGTGAGTTTGCGCCCAGTGAAGTAGCTTTATGTAATTGTTAAGTCTGTCTTGAACATCTCCAAACCCTAATCTTTCCGATTACTGCTTATACTCTTATTACCTCTACCACTACGGGATTCGAATCGACAACTGCATCTCTGTGCTAATGTGGTGTGGCAACTCGAACTGATGTACGTACGTACGAAGTTGTACGTTGTTACTGACTGACTGACTGTATGTGAATGCCCATATCTAAATATCATAAGAGTAATGTCTCATTATGTTAGTGGATGTTCTGCTAAGATTTTCATGATATCCAGTTTTAATAGTAAATATTATCATTAATCAAAAACACCATAATTGTATTTTCAGCGATACTATACTTGAGTGAATTTTGTTTTGATTGCCTTCTTATCAAGAATGTATCGCTTAATATTCCTTCGTTATTGAATAATAATAACACAAAACGTTTATCCCGTTTCGTCTAGGTCATTTCTGGTTATCGAGACTTCTTTTGTTAGAATTCGATTCTACTGCAATATTCTTACAGGAAAATGATGACATTTTTTATTTTGCTTATATATGATAAATCTATAACTTTAAAATTATTATTTTCTATGTTTTGCATTTTAGGATCATGAGATTAATAAGGCTTTAGTGTTTGGATATGTGTTTAATAACCTAGTATCAATACAATCAACAGACGATTTAAAATCACGTTTAACTAGCTGTTTGGAATTGGTGAATGAGTATCGCGCTAAGGAATTACTACCGTACAATGATGTTGTTCGTTTGGGCAACCCCATAATAGTTAAACTGGTAATTAGTCAATTATACATTTTGTTTATGTTGTATGAAGTAAAAAAAATATCTGGACACGCATTACTTACTTACGCCTGTTACTCCTAATTGAGCATAGGCCGCCGACCAGCATTCTCCAACCCGCTCTGTCCTAGGCCTTCCTTTCTAGTTCTATCCAATTGTTGTTCATTCTTCTCATGTCTGTCTCGGCGTAATGTGTTCTTTGGTTTTCCTTTGGCCTTGAGGTTTCCATGTGGGGGCTTGCCTTGTGACGCTAAAAAACGGGAACCGGGCACATATTGCCCTATGGTAAATTGCATTTACGTTTAAGTGGGGATAAATCCATCAAGTTTTGCATTTGGAAACTGTATTTATATTTCGTCAAAGTGTTATCTGATTAACTGTAATGCATATAGCATAAGTTATTAGTAAGACCTGTTTTTCACAAACTTCCTATCTGATCCCAATAACTAATGATAGTTCAGTTTTATTCATTGGTTTTATTCATCATCTCGGAATATTACATTGGTTTGAAGACCCCATGTGTGGACGTTATTTGCAAATACTTACATTTCCTTATTGTGAGTGCTATAAAATAGTACGACCAATAAATTCCTATTGCCATATAATTACTGAATGACCGTTGTCCGGATACCATTAGCAACAACTTACTGTGGTAAAGAACAAACCACTTCCTACCTGGATAGGAAATCAGGAAAAAACGTTGGTATTGGATACAACATACATTAAGGTAACCATCAAACTACGCAAGATAAAATCCAACATCCTCAAATACAACGCAGAGAACACAAACCAAACAAATCACATTTGATGGACAAACTCTGGAGCAGGTGGAAACTTTTAGCACATGACAAGGTCAGCATCATCGACGAACAGGGAGAATCTGATGCAGATGTAATGGTGAGGATCAGTAAACCAAGAGCAATATTCCTACAATTGAACAATATCTGGAACTTACAACAAATGTCAAACAATATCAAAGCCACAATCTTCAATACGAACGTCGAGACAGTTCTACTGTACAAATCTGAAACTTCAACAACTAATACAACCATCATCAAAAAGGCACACGTATTTATAAATAGTTGTCTACGCGATATACTCAAAATCGATTGGCTGGATACCATCAACAACAGCTAACTGTGGGAAAGAACAATCCGACTTTGAGCTGAGGAGGAAATCACGAAAAGACGGTAGTGGATACGAGATACATTAGGGTAACCATCAAACTACATCACGAGGCGAGCTCTAACTTGAAATCCTGAAGGTTAACGGAAATGAGAAAGACCAAAGAGCGCTGTGTCGAGAATTGGAAGTAGATATCATAAGGATGAGTAGCAACTGAAAAGGATTATCCGCCCACCGTTGAAGTGGGCTTTGGCATAAATTGATGAATATTTAGTACCTCATCACTCAATTCGCTGTTCTAACCTAGTATCCAGATCTTAAACCGAGGCATAGCTCACTTCGTGGTCCCAAAATACACGAGCTATGCTTCGAAGTCATCTATGAACAAACCGCTGCACAGTAAACTCACCTTTGGTTGGTTAAAGGATATCTCAACTACGCCACAAATGAAAGTTGGCGAACGAGAATCGAGCCTTATGAATTCGTGTAAAAATTTCATCAGACGACAAACTCTCATGTCTGCTACCTGAATGCATTAGTACGGCCGGAATAGAGGAGAGCACGCCTATTTTTGAAATGTTCTCAAATGGCCTCCCATATGCAGCCACTGCCAGAAAGTCATCGCGGCGAAGGTGTTTACGAAATTAAAAGGATGAGAATCGGATGTCAGGCGCTGGAGATGATAGTCACCATTATAGATCCTGTGAAGAAGTTACCGTAAGCCAACACTCGACTCCTATGTGTGTAGACGCTTGTTTTTCACAATTAAATGTCTGACTCGCGCTACTCTATCTTTCAATAGTGCTTTCTCTTCCGTTCAGTTGGTGGTACAACTTATCTACGATAACACTCGGGTTGTAATCTGTTGAGGTATGGGTGGTGTTTACATTAAGACACCGTTTTCTCACTTTTATAGAACTTTCTAATCGAACAAAGAAAGCCAAATCTCTTTTCTGATCTGCATCTGTGTGCGAATGTTTTAGTAGTCAGTATTTTCAAACATTCGGAAACTTATATTTTCTTATCACTAATTATTTTATAATCTGTACTATTATTGGCTTTGCTGTGTTAATGAGGCATGACAGCTTAAACCGATGTACTTATGTGTCAGGTTCTTATTCAGTGAATCAAGTTAAAATTTCGACTAGACAGGTAATTAAGGTTATATCGATGAAACAGGATTTGCCCCATAGGTACTCAGGGTCAGGAATTGGTAGAGTGTAATTGCGTTGTTAAGTTTTAATATTGATCATGCTCAGAAGAGTACTTTTCTTAATTGTTCATTACTTAGTTTCTTTTTCAATCTATGCGTTTTTCTATTATGCAACGTCTGAATTTTTTTCTGACTTTTGATGGATGTGCTTTTCTTGTTTTCTTAAACCTCAGGTGACAAATATAATATCCGTTTCAGATATGGCAGAAATTGCAAAGTTGAATAAATCAACCGTAATGCATGACGTTTTCCGCATTTTCAGCCATACACTAACAAAACGTTCGTTACGTATGCTGTACTTGCAAGTTTTCGAAGCTTTGATGTTATCCAACCTTCGTTCATTTCATGGCATCCCAAAAAATATTGTAATTCAACTTGTAGCTGATGTATGCGCTCATCAAGTAAGCGGAGAATATTTTCGTTTTGGTTTGTTAATGGTTGCACCTATACTTGATTTCTGTTTTATTGATAGTAAATGATTTAAACATTAGAAAAATACACTTGTTACTGAGTTTTATTGAACTTCGCAATTATTTAAATAAAATTATCACTTAAGGAGCTAGTGTAATGTGCATTCAAAATTACCTATTTTTAGTTTGCGAGTATTTTGATTAACGTAGGTCATCGTAATGTCTTATTGACATTCTGCAAACGAATTCTATCACGTAGAGCTGCTCAATAAAACTTGAACATTTTAAATCAAAGTATGCTGTGTAACTGCAGACTATATGTGAATCTAGTCGCCACATTGTAACTTGGTCGATAGATTTTGATCCTTTTAATTTACCCGTCGTGGAAGAGCATAGGCTGCCAATCAGGAATTTTTGGCCAGTGTTCTAAAGTAAGATTGTTTTCTACGTGATGGTGTTTCTGACTCCATGCCCAACCTCCTCGTTTACCAGGGCTTGGGACCGGGAGTAATCCAGGAAAGGCTACAGGCATCAACCAATGAATTAAAACATTTTACTAACTGCAACACTGCTGCATGCATATGAGACAGTGTATTGATAAAACCAATTCCTATTACAATACCCTTTATTCATAGGTTCTTGAATTCATCAGTAATGTTTACGTAGTACTCTTATCGAAAGATGTATACTTTTTACAAAAAATTAATTTCTGGTGAACACTTACTCAAACTTGGTCTCCATGTAGGACGATCTTTACGGTCAAAATAGGTAGATCGAATACTTAAAACTCAAAATTCTACTATTAATTTATACTATTTGTGTGCTAATTATTTTTACTGTTTACACCAAATGTGTATGGAGTACTATTACTCCTACAGTTGTTGCTGATTTACGAGTTTCTGAAAGGTACATATTTATTTGTTGCTTCCTAAATCCCCATTTTTATCCGTCGACAATATTTTTGACCCTATTTCTCAGCATAAGTTACGTCTCAAAACTGGTAATCTCTTTTTGAAGAACAGTGCTTTCATGGGTAAACCATTGACTGAGCTCTCAACTACCGTACTAGTCTAAATATGTTCACTTATGCGTTAAATTTCATCTGCTAACTTTTATTCATTGATTATAAGTTCACTGGTTTATTTGAGATCTCAAACTAATATAAGTTAAACAGCCAGTTATTGGTTTGTGATTTCAACGAAATTTAACTATCTCCACAACTATCGTACTGATAGTTTTCTAGCACCTGTAGTTATTAATCTGGATATTTTATTGAAAATATTATCGAGTTCTTGACCCTAAGACATCAACCTGCGTTATTACCTAGTATTTTTTTGTATTCATTTGCCACTTTTTTTCTCTTAGAATGTCACGTTTGGTTATGGTGATTGGATATTATCAGGATTGAAAGATGCCGGTGTACCAAGGGTACGTTTCGCGCACATGAATAACAATAATTATATGCATATCCTTGTAATTTGTCACTTTTTGAAACCGTTAGTATTTGCATTAGTTATAATCAATTTTCTGTTGTTTTTATTTGTGTTAAACACTAGGATTGTTGACATGTGATCTGCGGAGTTTGAGGATGTGATCATATCCTAAAGTAGATTGCATTTTTGTTTGAATATGTGTTTCATGATCGCATTTTCTTTTTTCTATTATTCAAGCACATTATGGCAAAACTTTCTTCTGATCAATCTGTGGAACTATCTTCGTAAGTTTGATAATTGTTTCTCGTTTTTTAAATCCAATCAAAGTCTGTAAAGTTAGTTAGACATCAATAATCCACACCTCTTTTTAACATCATCACTTTATTTATTTATAGGTGGAAATTATACCCGGCTACTAAACTCGAAGCATTTGGTTTTCGTAAGGGGGTTATTCTCTGAGCCCTCATGTCAGACAACTAATTCACATTTCCTCACTTTTCTTACTAATGCTTCCTTTTTCCATTATGCTCTTCAATTTCAGGTTTTCAGATCTTAGCGTTGTGCTTTTTGGTGGGCGAACGAGCAACGGTAAGCACAAAATCAATTAAAGACCATTCTTGTAAGGTGTATTGTTCGATTTATATACTTGGTTTTTTGTATGGGTTGTATTATCATTGGTTACTGATTTTGAAAGAAGATTAGAACGTTTTTGGTAATACTCATCAATGTCGAGCCGTTATACCAGTTTTGTGTGTATTAAGCGAATTTCCCTGTTTCTTTGCACCGCTGTCGCTGGAGATATGGTACTATAAACATTTTGAAAATAGTGTCTATCGCTTTTGTGATTGCCACTTCGTTTATTTTTGAAGTGCATCAGCGTGATTTATCACATCGCCATTAGCGGTAGCCTTTTCCCCATCATTATATTAGTTATTTTTATCGATTAGTCACAAAAAACAAAGTATCATTTCAAGTTTCCGGACCACATTAAGGCATAAAATAACATAACGGTAATTGTTAAAAATATTGACTTCCATAACACTATTCAGATTGTTGGAAAAACAAGAAAGGCTGAATCGGGTGGAGGTGGTTCTGTTATTGTTCTGTTTCAAGAAGCATCAACCATATCTGCACCCTTTTCCAAATGTTAAAAGATCGTCATAATTACAGCACGCTTACAGTCGTTGTGATTTTTGGTATCCTGGCTATCTTCGTTACGCTAAATATGATTGTCCTTTGGGATCATCTGTGTTTTTCCTGTCATCCCAATCAAGTCGGTTGGAGAACAATAAGACTAAACTCAGCGAACTCATGGTTCATAGGGGATGTTGTATGGCTGACTTTATTGTTTGACTGCAATAAGTTGTTTGTCTCAAACAACCAACTTCTGAAGTAATGTTACCTTGTCACAATAGAATGAATGTTTTAGAAAAGGTATATTCTAAAAACAAAACTTCACCTTACGTCATACATTTCGATCTCTGGCAGAAATATGATTTAAGCTTTATGATGAGATCTTTTTAATTGATCAGTACAAAGCAATTTTAAAACTCAAGTTTCAGAAGAAGAGAGATTTTATCGATCTACGCCTTGACGATGTATTTTAATTGTTATAAGGCCCAATAGTTTGTTCGAGGTAGTATCCAAGCGGTCTCTTACAAAACTTCGTAAACCGTTACACCCTCGCTTTTTTGTACGGTGCTTAAATATTTGAAAGATTTCCCCACTGTTATCGGATATTCATGGGACAATGTTAGATTTCATACAATTACAATCGATCATTTGTAAATCCCATCTCTTGTTTTGAAAAAGTATGTTACAGGATGTCTTGAGTAAATACTTTACTGGCGTCACACCTCAGTTTAGTCACCAATACTGCTTCACACTGCAACCATAAATTGCTGTTTTTTATTTGAACACATATGTTTTGGTACAAGGAGGCACCAGATACATATCCGCCACACAAATCTCTTTTGATTTTTATGAGGGCTGTGGTACTACTTGGGTGCTCAAACCCAAGCAAGCTGTTTTATTAGGGGGCGACACCCATAGCCTTTGACCTAAAGGTCTGATCCACAAGGCAGTGAGGTAACATCAGGAGATACAGTTCCATGGTAACCGGTGACCAATAATTGGTTCACACGCCATTCGTTCCCTCAGGATACTGAAACCCATGTGCACCATTGGTTTTACAATCAGGGTTTTCCAACTCTCCTAGGTTGACTCCTCGTGTCCACCAATATAGTTAAAGCGCCGGACATTCGCTTTTCATCCTCTCAATTTCGTATACAACATCCCTATCACGAGAAGGCAGTAATTAGGACTTCCGTGACAGTGGTTGTATGCAAATGGTCATGTGAGAGCATTTCGTGATGGAGGGTTGACTCTCAACACTCTCGGCTGTGCCAGAGCATTCGTGAGCAAATTGCTGCTTGGACTTGTATAATTCTTTACCTACGTACTTCGTATCGTAAACCCTAAATGTGAAAGTGTTTCACCCAATATCGCTTGACTAGATCATCACAATGTGAATGCCTGAGCATTGTGTCATTGTCGCAACTACAGTTATGATCGTTTTCCACCAAATATGTATGGTTTATATTGGGTTGGTAATTTCCTCATATGCATGTTTCGTTTGTTTTACTCATCTTTTGAGAATTCGACATATTGAAAATTTTTAATCATAGTCATTGACACAGCTATTATGTAAACATGTGATTCATTATGAATATTGTAGGAATATATTAATATACATTTCCTTTTTCACTTTTTCTAATATAAAGCAGTCAGAAAAAACAAAAATGAAGGTTCATTAGCTAATCAAATGGTATGTTGTGTATATTATACATATTTTTATAGAATGAAATACATAGTTACAATTTCTCATAAATAAAGCGTTTTCTGTATTTAAAACTCATGGAACGTTGATTGTAGCACAAACTTGTGCGCTACGTTTATTGAACACTGACTTTATTCTTTACGCTTTCTGATAGTGTGTATTATTGTGTATGTGTTTCAGTCTTGTTTATTTTACACGTTGTTCATAATTACTTTAATGTTTTTACAGAAGTTACCTTCTGAAGAATCAGTACCAATTGCCGCCGAATCACTTGTTAAGTAAGAATATTATGCGATTATTAGTTTGTTATTGTTTGATTTTTCTAACTAATTGGTTTCTTTTACTTCTGGGTTGATATCTAATATAATGCTTTCAATTGAATGTAATGTTAGTCAACCATTTGTAGTCAGCGTAGTGCCTGAAATGAATTATGATCTAGTCAGTATGTATATGTTGTCACATGATAAGATTACTGTTTTTCTCGTCAATATTACCTTTTATTTCCTTACTAAAACTTGCTTGATTTCATTATCCCTTATTTTATAGAGCACTAAAAGATGATCCTAAAAAATTGGAAACGGAATTAAAATCTATTGAAGCTTTATGGAGTTTACAAAGTATGTTTGTCATTTGTTTTTAGATATGTATATATTTCGTAAATTTTTATTTTATTATTCTATAATATAATAATCATTGCTAATTTTGTTGCTTTCAAGAGAAATTCATTTTATTGAGCTATCTCGTAAATCTTGGATCAAAAGATCTCGTTGAACGTGTGTTACAATTTTTGCCTGAAGAACAAAGAAAACAACGTGAACCAATGAAATCACTTGCACATATAATAAAGTAAGTATATTTTATTGAAAGAAAAAGAAAATAGTTAGAAATTTCCTCTTACATTGTAATGTAATTGAAAATTCCCTCCACTTTACTTGTTCAACAAGTATACGATTTTATAAAGACAAATAATTCTTTCATTTCATAATGTGGTTTGTTTTCATTACAGAATAATATGTTATCAAATATTATTCGTATAAATACTTTTAAAGTCGTCAACTTCTCGATTAGTCAGTAACAACGTAAAACTTCGTACGTACGTGCGTACATCACTTCGACTTGCCCCACCACAGAAACAATTCTCGACTCAAATCCTGTAATAGTAAAGGTAGTAAGAGTATAAGCAGTAATCGAAGAGATTAGGGTTTGTAGATGTTATTCAACGAGTATAATCCAGTGATATAAATTAGAAAAGAGAAAAAAAGGACATGAATAATTCAGAAGAATTTTGGACAACACAAAGAATGGATGCACCTGCGCCATTGCAAATGATTTTCAGCCGTGTCATTCAAGATCTTTAACCATCAGTTGCTATCGTCTTTCGGATCCCCCAAATACCCTAGTACGGCCGAGAGTGTTGAAAGTCAGCCCTCCCTCTCGAAATGCTCTCACATGACCACGTACATACAACCATCGCCACGGATGTCATTTTCGATTCAATAAAATTAATGCCTAACTATTACATCATCATATAAGCGTAATTCAATAAATGCGTAAAATTTAACTGTATCCTTATATTAGAATTTTTATCTTGTGTTCAGTCGGCATAGACGCTGGATTGTCCTTATTCGTTTAAGATGTCTTTGTTTCTTTTATTGATTTAATAAATATTGTTATTTATCATGTACAGGTCATCCTTAGAAAATGATACGGAAAAAGAATCATCTTCAGAAAGTGTGAAACAGTCGATTCAAAATTTACAAAATCTTTCACCTAAGGATTTATACTCTACAATGAGGGGTCCACACTTAGATACACTTTTCAGATGTTGGCCAACTGAACATATTTCAGACTGTATGTTGTTATACATTAATTAATTTTTTTAACTTGTAAATTCAATTAGTCACAATAATTTATGGTCAGTTATAAAATTTATACTCATTGTTATAATATTCTATTCTCCCCAAATGCCCTGGTACGGCCGAGAGTGAGGAGAGTCCTGTCTCCCTCTCGAAACGCTCTCACATGGCCATGCGTATATAGCCTCTGCCAGGGAGGTTCTACTCATTGCCTTCTCATGGCGCGGGTGTTGTTTACGAAAATGAGAAGACGAAAAGCGAATGTCCGGCGCTTTAACCGGAATCCAAACCATTAGTGCACATGGCATCCAGTATCCTGCGCGAACAAATGGTCACAGTGATGTTGGCTGACAGTTGTTTTGAGTTTCATGTGTTGTCAGACTGTAGGAATGCGGTCCCTGCTTTGCCAATTCGTACTCAAATATTTACATTAGATTCTCCTTGTTTAACAATGATGCTGACCAGGTACGTGAAAGTCACCACCTCTTCCAGTGCTTCTCCATCAAGTATGATTGGATTCGTTGGTGTTCTCCGTGTTGTGTCTGAGGATCTTACGTTTTCCCCTGTGTATGTTCAGGCCTACTGATGCAGAGGTTGCTGCAGCTACACCGATTGTCTTCACCTGCATTTGGTCATATGCATGCTAAATATGTATTTAGTAAGGTGAACAAATTATTTGTATTACTTTTAGAAAGAGATGAGTGAGTAGTAAATAAAAAATTTGTGAAAATTATCATAAGAATAAAATAACGTGAATGTGGATCATATTTGTATACATATGAGCGAAAAAATATCTACTATAAATAGGCTTTTAAACTGTGGTTATGGTTAAGAGGGGAATCTAATATTTTTTTACATGCCATAAGGCTTTCTATCCATAGCTATTCATAACTTCTTCAATATAAGGTTAGTTTAGCCGTGTATCTGTAGGATCTTTATCTGATATCGGGGAATAAATCTGAAGCTTAAAAGCATGTATTTACTACACATTTCGGAATTGATGGTGTTGTTGACCTTTGTCGTCCTTCGCTAAAGCTCATTGGTAAGTCTATCACTCCGACCAACAACGTACATGCCAGTATCATTTATTTTACATTCATATATGTCATTATCTTTGGAAAAATCATGTTTTTTTTTAATTTGCCAGAACTAGTTATATTTATTGCTTTTTTAAAAAATATTCATATCGTATTTCCTTTTAATTTTTTATCAGTGATTGATATCACAAAAAAGCTTTCCAAACTTGGTCTCAATTCTGTCAATTTACAGTTGGCTGGAGTTTTGGTTAATCGTGGGCTGAGTGACTTAGTTTCTACTTTGTTGGAGGTAATCATCGTTATACTTTTTATGACGAAAGATAAGTAGGGAGTGGGTTCACTTTGTTTTGTAGGCAGTTAGTGATTGGCAACAAAGTTACATTGATGTTGGAATCTATATATAGCCAAATATAGCTAAGCGAAATCCAATCAGTTTTAAATTTTGCTCACTAAAACACTTATACACTACTAGCAGGTTCTTTGAGTAAACACGTTTGTTAATACCTCAAAATGGTATGTCTACGTAGTTTGCGAATGTGAGTTACTATACAAAATATTTTGTCATGAATGGCCATTAGTACGTCGATAGTTAATCAATGTGATATATTTTGTTCTAGTTACTTGAAGACATTATTGTGTTAAATAATCTTTCCATCACTTGATGATAGCTCAGTTAGAGTTTATCCACCTGAGAATTTTCTTATTCGACACCGTTCTTTAATTAGATATTATACTAGCAATCCTCTCCTTAGTTATTGTACTACATAACAGAAAGAAGATGTAATGAGATTATCACCCCTCTAGACTTGTTAAGAATTATGCGTTGCATGTCAAATTCAACTCCATGTATTATCTCATTTATTTCTTAGTACTACAAACGTTTGCAGAATACATATCAATTGTTATGATATATGTATATAGGAGTTATGTTACTGACCTATCATCCTAACAAAAAACTACGGGAGCAATAAGAAACCGAATGATTATACTTTCGAATATTGTAATGGTTTCCTATTCCAACAGTACCAATAAGTTTTTTTTACCTTAACACAATGTGCTAGACACCTTGTACACTGAATTCGTGTGGTGTCATGATCATTTTAACAATGAATATTAATTTGTCTTCAATGTTACTTCTGATTTAGAATAACAAAACAGTTCCGTTTACTTTCTTGGTTGGCAATCCACGAAATTCATTGACGAAATCTGAATTTCTGTCTTCGGTGGAGTATCTAAAATCTGTTGATTCTCAACATATTCCTGGTTTTGTGGATCATTGTCTCCGCAATGCAGGTACTATTTCTAAATATGTTTGTTGCGGTTTGTCGCTGAGTTCACGGTAAACTCAATCCATTTTTTGTCGTTGTTACGTTACATTGTACATATTTTTGACAAATTCAGTAAAATCGTAATTAACATAGATTGAACATATTCATGAGTTTCTACAAGTGATTGATTTCAGAAAATTACTTCTCCAACTTTCATCATTACATCTTGGTCGAACGGTAGGACTAAAATATATGCTGCTCGTTACGGTGTATATAATACAACCAGCCATCGAAATTTTATTATCACTAAAGTGAATAGTCGATCAACAGCCTATTAAGTAGATTGAGATCATCATATATAGATATCCGTCTGTCGCAACATCAGTGACCACCCTACTTTAATTCACCACACATCACATTTATGTCTACAATTAGTATCCGCTAATTCTATGCAGTTGTGTGGAATGATCCCAGAAGTCGGTATATAGCCGATAGCACTTGACCAATAGTAATAATATTCAAGGGATTATTACGATCTCATTTTCCATCCGTCATCCGAAGTTAGATTCTTTTAACTAAATACATTAATTTCGGTGTCAACAGTTCAATTTTAGTCGACATCTTACATCGTAATTCAATAGACGACTTCATGCCGTTTAAAATAGTACATTATTTGTACCCTTGATATAGTCCTGATGTTTTTTTATATAATTTCAGCTTTGTCGACAAACGATGACAACTTATACCAGTTAATTCGTACAGTAGTATCACCACCGTTCAATATGGATCTTCTTCAAGTTTGTATACAACCCACTCTCCAAGTTTTACATCATCGTTTGGAAGTGAGCGAAAATGTAAGTTTTTTACTCAAACTCTAAGAAGTTATTATTCCTTTTTAATCGCTTAGCAGTAGTTTCTGGCTGAAATTACGGGTTTTAATCTTGAGTATCAGGTTTTACTTTGTGCAACTGTTGACTGTCTCTGCTTTCTATGGTTAATCTAAAAAAAATTGATTTCTGTCTTTTTTCGTTGTAGTTACCAGAAGATATACTTCAAGCTACTCAACCAGTTGTTCAAAAAATTAGTGCATTAAAAGCAAAAGCTTCCAGTTGAATTAGAAAGCTCTTGCCCCTCATTTCTTTCTTCAAACTGCAAAATTATAGGTTTCTTAATGAAGGATTTTAATTGTCTTTAGTCATCATCGTGTACAATAAATTATTCGAATCAGCTTCTTCACCTTTTGGTTTGCGCTTGAGTTATTGATTAGCAGGTAATAACTAGAGCTAAAAAGGGTTATAACAACAGCACCTGCAGAGTTAGTAACTTATTAGTGAGATAATTACCGAAGAAGATACCCTCTCATACTAATATTACATTTTGAAAATGGATGTGTTTTTAGCGAAAATGTCAAATGAAATATCACTGAGTTCACGTCTGGTCTTAAACGATACAAAGAATTGCCATGCTTTACCATGGGTATATTTATAGACCTGACCAGCCCTTCTCGGAAGTGGGTGTATTATCCAGTGCAAAGTTTGAATAGGTTTATCCAAACCTCATCTCAATGGACAGTCATTTGTTGGCAGTCCCGTCAAATGGCGGTGTGAAATCATAACAGGTTAGGAATATACCGTTTTCTATTCTTTGTCTTACTGCTTCTGTTGACTGCCAGGGAAGTCCTACTCACTCCCCTCTCATGATAGGACTGTTGTTTACAAAATTGGGAGGGCCAAAAACGAGTGTCCGGCGATTTACCTTGGTTGGCGGGTATGTAGGAGTTGGAAAACATTCCAAACAAATCCTGCACATTGACTTCAGGATTTTAAGGGAGCAAGTGGTGTATTAACCTATTTTTGGTCGCCGGCTACCACGGGATTGCATTTCCTAACGTTGATGCACTGCCTTGGGACTAAAAGGTTAGCCCAAAGGCTTCGGGTTGGCCCCCTAAGGAAACTACCTGCTTCTATTTGAACACCCGAGCGATATCCTAGCTCTCACACAAATCGAATTATTTATGTAACACATACCTCTTTGGTGTCTCCTCGTACCGAGCTTTATGTGCTTAGATAAATAATTGACTCAAGTTCGGATAAAAACAGGGTATGGCTTGTACTAAGATAGTGCAAAGTTTCTTCCTAGTGTTCAAATTAAAGAGTAGACCTCAGGAATCACTTAAGAAGCGGTTAATTAATCGTCATATTCACGTAATTGTCCAAGTGGTATTGTCATTTACGAGTGCTGTAATCAAAATGTTAAGGACTAATAGTGGATTTCTATAGTATTCAGTAAGTTTACATAGTCGGAAACTTGCTCTTAACCCTTGAAAGTGCTGTAGGTTAAGTGCACTGGATTGCATAGGGTTTGTCATAGCTGGGACATGAACCCAAAGTACTATGTTTTCAAGATCATACCTCATATATTGGATCTTGGAATCGCTAATTTCTAACACTGCTGGACGATCGTCGTGAACACTTCTGTAAGTGTTTCCTTGAATAACTTTGATTTTACCAACATTCTTCGTTCATCACTCCATCAGTAAATTCCCAGAAACAAGAATAATAATGCCTGGGCAGGTTTTCGAAAAGCCGTACCTATAATAGGTTTCACAGCTGAAACGGTTGCCTAAGCTGTCATTCAGAACAGGGTAACCGTTTTTGGTACACCTGTTACAATAAAGACTGATATTTGAGCACAGTTTGAATCTAAACTATTCAACAACTTGTCTGAGTTCCTAGGCTCTAACTGAATACGTTGCACTGCATACCATCCTCAGGCTAATGAGATGATGGGACGTTTCTGCCGTCAGTTAAAGACTGCCCTAATACCACATTCAAACCCCGATCCGTAGACAGAGTTCCTTCCATTAGTTATGTTGGGAATAAGAACGGCTATCAAAACTAACTCAGTATTCGGCAGCAGAACTAGCCTTCCGGAAGAATCCAATGTTGCCGGATGAGTTCCTCAATCCTCGTACTGAGCAACAAATGAAGGACTCCTGATCAAAATACCGAAGAAAGGCGATCTCATCAACTGTGATAACTACGGGGGCATCATACTTCTCTCAATACCGGGAAAAGTCTTCAACAATGTATTGTTAAACACGATGAAGTCCTGCTTAGACGCCCAACTTCGAGACCAACAGGCAGGATTCCGCAAGGATAGATCGTGTACAGACCTAATCGCAACTCTACGGATCATTGTAGAACAATCAATTGAATGGAATTCATCACTCTACATCAACTTCATTGACTACGAAAAGGCATTTGATAGCGTGGACAGAACAACACTATGGAAACTTCTTCGACAATACGGCATGCCTCAGAAGATAGTCAATATCATACAGAGTTCATATGATGGATTACACTGCAAAATCGTGCATGGAGGACAATTGACAAAGTCGTTCGAAGTGAAGACCGGTGTCAGGCTAGGTTGCTTACTCTCACCCTTTCTCTTTCTCCTAGTGATCGACTGGATCATGAAGACATCAACATCTGAAGGGAAGCACGGAATATAGTGGACATCTAGGATGCAGTTAGACGATCTAGACTTCGCAGATGATCTGGCCCTTCTATTCCAAGCGCAACAAAAATGCAGGAGAAAACGACCAGTGTAGCAGCAGTAGATCTCAATATACACAAAGGGAAAAGCAAGGTTCTCCGATACAACACAGAATGCACCAACCCAATCACAATTGACGGAGAAGATTTGGAAGATGTAAAAACCTTTACATATTTGGGCAGCATCATTGATGAACACGGTGGATCTGATACATATGTGAAGGCGCGGATCGGTAAAGCAAGAGCAGCATATTTACAACTGAAGAACATCTGGAACTCAACACAACTGTCTGTCAACCAACACCAAGGTCAGTATTTTCAATACAAATGTCAAGAGAGTTCTACTGTATGGGGCAGAAAACTGGAGAACTACGAAAGCCATCATCCAGAAAATACAGTTGTTTATTAACAATTGTCTACGCAAAATACTTCAGATCCATTGGCCGGACACTATTAGCAACAACGTACTGTGGGGGAGAACAAACCAGATCCCAGAGGAGGAAGAAATTAGGAAGAAGCATTGGAAATGGATAGGACACAGATTGAGGAAAGCACCCGACTGCGTCACAAGACAAGCCCTCACGTGGAATCTTGCGTTTAGTGATCCTTCAGGCATTCCAGAAACCTTACCCTTCCTCCAGAACGCGTTGTTCCGGGTCGGTTGTCAAATACCACCGCAGTGTCGTAGTGAATGTTGATTGTCAAGTGATGTATTGTGATTGTGATACTCGTGTCGTTCGATTGTACCGAAGGAAAATCGACGTAACTAGGGTTTCCTTCTAAATAGGTGACTTTGAGACGATCGATTTTGATGTTACCGTTAGTTCCTTTTTTATTAATTTTATAGTACTTAGGTTCACGCTAAGGAAATTTAAAGGGTCCTTCTTGTGCTGTTACGAGAGTTTGTAGTGATCTACTTTTATGAAGGGAACGTGATTGGTGTGATCGGTAATATTCTCATTATGACCAACTATACCAGTGATTGTTTAACTGTACCATAAAAACACTTCCGCTGGTTGTGTCCTTGCACGAACTCCCGTACGCTCAATAGGCTCGCTTGTAGATTTTGGCACGATTTCGGTATTGTTTTGATATCACGAGGTTGCCAACAAATATATCTTAACTACAACTATCAACTACCTTCTGATATTTGGCCTACGGAGGAGTCTAATCTGGTAATTTGCACTTAGTGTATGTGTAGTGGCGATCATAGTTGTAGCGATAAATAAATCCCCAATATAAATAGCTCTGTAAGTTTTCGACATTGGATGATGACCACATTGGTTTTAATGGACTCGCCCGGCTGAAGGCCCTCGGTCATGCTGTAGTGAAGAAGAACACGGGTGAGGACAGCCAAATTGTATTTAGAACAAATTACAGAATTACTTGGTAAAATAGAAAAACCATATAGTAAATCGTTAATTTGCAAAATATCATTCTATCATATCAAACCGGGCTGTTGCTGTTGCAAACATCAATCCATTGTCTCGCATTTCATTGCTCATGCAGTTTCTAACAAATTCCATTGTTTTCTCGCTCTTCTTTTCTTGATCTTCTCCGTCTTCTGCTGCCAGACATTACGTTCTTTTGACTCACGTTATATACTACTTATATCAATATAAGTAGCACGCACCACACTCGTCCCCCCTTTTAACAAGTTGCTGTCGTAGTCTTTCTGATCTCCGTACCGCTGTGTTCTTTGGTGCTTTTCGTGATTCACACCCATGATGATCTTGAAACCATCTCTGTAGTTGACTAGCATTTACGCGCTTCTGCTTGTCTTCTCTCCGGATCGTGTAGACCGAGCCGCGTCTCTCCGTGATAGCATACGGTCCTTCCCATTTTGGGGCCAGCTTCCCCGACCGTGCTCCCCCTGCTGTGTTACTTTTTCGTTCTCTATACTTTACTAGGTCCCCCACTGCAAAGGGTTTCCACGTTCTCCTCTGTTGTTCTGCCTTCTTTGTGTCTGATATTTGTTTCTTTTCCACGTTCCTTATTGCCTCTCTCCTCTCTTTTCTTAACCTTGTTGTCGTCCACTTCTGTTGTTGTGGCCAGGTCTTATTATGCATTGGAAGTCGTGGTTGTCTGCCATACATGAGCAAGAAAGGTGACTTCTTGGTTGTTCCTTGTGTGGAGGAACGATGTGCCAGCAAAATCAATGGTAACTCTTTCTCCCAATTTCCTCCTTTTGATGCTAACCATTCCTTTAACGTCCGATTGTTCCTCTCTGTAATCCCGTTTGTCTGAGGATGATACGGTGTAGTTCATATTCTTTTGATGCCAAACTGCTTTAAACGGGCTTTAAACTCGTCACTTTCAAAACAGTGACCCTGGTCAGTTAATATCATCTTCGGTATTCCGTGACACGCTACAATATGCCGGATTACCACCTCGGTCACTGTCCTTGCCTGCTGGTCTGCAATGGGTACGGCATCTACCCAACGTGTAGCATGTTCCGTCATCACTAACAGGTACTGGTTACCGCTCGCCGTCTGTGGAAACGGTCCCATCACATCCACCGACCATAGATCACCGACTGCGGTTACTGGGACTGACTGTAATGGCGGTTGTGTGTATCGATCGCTTTTCATTAGCTGACACTGCTGGCAGGTTAACACGTATTCAGCCACATCTTCTCTCATGCTCGGCCAGTATGCACTTTGTCGTAGTAAGTCCGTCGTTCTTGCGATGCTTGTGTGTGCTACCTGGTGACACTCGTGTATCACTTTACGCCGCCAGTCTTTCGTGATCACCGCCACCCAATTCTCATCATCGTCCTGCCAGGTCAGCACTCCATATGAGTTCACTCTCAGTCGGTCCTTTTGCAGAAGCAGCGTTATTACCTCCTTGTCCATTGTTCGTTTATCTACGTCTGCTCCCTCTTTTATCACTCTGATTACCTCTCGAAGGTTAGGGTCAGCTTTCTGCTGCCGGACGAGTTCTAATGGGTCTCCCTCTAAACTATTCACCGCGTATGCTGTTAATCGCAGGTCGGCTTCCATGTCTGGTCTTGACAAGTAATCTGCCATTACGTTTTCTTTTCCTGGAACATGGCCGATACTGAAATCGTATTCCTGCAGGCGTATCATCCATCGCGCCAACTTCATTCGGGGGTCTCTTGCTGTTTTCAACCACTGCAGGGGTTTATGGTCGGTCTCAATGTGAAATCGTCTACCTAAAAGGTATGGTCTCCATTTTTCCACTGCCCACACGATCGCTAAACACTCCTTTTCGATGGTTGAATACTTCTGTTCTGGCGAGTAACAACGGAGATGCAGACGCATGCTCTCTTCAGGCAGACTCTGGGGATACGAAGGTTAATAGGTACAACATAGGGAAGTGCCTGTACCCGTGATCTTGTTCCAAAAGGATTTTGGGTTGACAGTGATTCATGACCTTAAGACGATGGCCCATTGTCGGGAGGTTGCAGCTAAGGGGTTCAGAATACTCTCGGCTTTAAAACAGACACTTACAAAGTTGGAAACCAGCATGTTCATTACAGCATTAACAACCTTGGTGAGGACTAAGTATGAGAACTGTGTTCAGGCTGCAAGCCTCTGTTTAAAAGGTCACTCATATATCCTGGAAAACGTACAGAGAGCAGCAACCCGTCCAATTCCAGAATACGAATGTTTACCATACAAGGCGCGGCTTGAAAAGCGAAACCTCTTTAATCTGTTCTATCATAGACTAAGGGGAGATCTGATCTTGATGTAAAGAATACTGAGAAATGATTTCGTACTTAATATATCCTCTCTTTCCCCCCCCCCCCACTAGATCGGGACATCTCAAAGGATACAGCAGGCGATTACAAAAGCCAAGAACGAACAAAATACCGGTGGCATTTAGGTTTTCACAACGAGTCAGAAGTAGTATATTTTAACCCAACTTATAAGACCCAAAAAGTTGCGAAAGTGACGAATAACAGTTTTTCTGACGGTATGTGCTTAAGTCATATTATTTAATGTAAAAAAGTTATCCGTCTACTCAAGTGTATAGCTAAATAGAAATAATTGAAATTTGTGATGGAATTATCGAAAATCTACTATAGCAGTACCTGATGATGCATTTTATAGGACTTTGTAATACCATGTGTAAGATCCATTTTGAATGTGTTGTGTGTTGGTGAAAATCCCTCCATGTATATACTTGTACTTTATTCCTATTGATCACATTAGTTGTACAATGTTGTAATTTGATTGCGTTTGAATTGTTAATATTTGTATTTTTGTTATAGTTTTTGTTTTTATTAGGCATTCACTAAGTTTGTGTTTCTTCCTGAACTGTATCTGTGTTGTTTTACTTGACACTTGTTCTTGGCTGTAGCCATATTGATTTGTTCCTCCTGTTGTGTGTGATTTATCCAGCCAGGATAGAATAACGTTGATTTGTTGTAATTGGTAATTTTTCCTCATCTTCTATCAACTTCTTTATTATTGTAATTTAGATTTAATTGATTGAACAATCATTGGTTGAATAGCCGGGTGATAATATTTGTTTAGGTAATGATTTACATTAAATTTATTATGAATTATAGAACCGCTAGTTACCCGATTACTTGTTCTGATTTTGACGGGAAAGGGCGCGTGTCTAAAGTCCCCGGTAGGCTATTCTTCAACATCCAAACCGTAGTTTGGATCCTACAGTTCTAAACAAGTATTACTTGGCCGAAATCCTTTGGTAATCGTTCACGGATTTTCTGGAAATAATTGGTCGTGTCGCTTATAATGCCAGTTAATCGTCGAAGGAGATCAGGCTCAAAGTTCGTCGATGTTAACGAAGAATCCCCTATTGTCAAGCAAGTGCCTTTTGACGTCCTTAAGGGTCATGGTTCAGACTTAAATAGGGTTAATTATCATGGCAGTGATTCTAGCCTTAATTCGATGTCAGATGATGTAAAAAATCTTAGTTTAAAGGAGGAGCAAAGGCCTGAATTACTAGGAAAGAGCATGTCGCTTATAGTCCATGTTGTTGGCCCAGAGCTACCTAAGGTTGAACTGAGTTATTTCGATGGAGAGCCAAGAGGTTATTGGAAATTTATAAGGCAATTTGAGACGTATGTAGCATCAAGAGTCACGGATGATAGCCAGCGCTTGCTCTATTTGATACACTACTGTAAGGGCAAGGCTAAAACAGCTATTGAAGGTTGCGTCATGATGGAGGCATCCTCTGGCTATAAAAGAGCAAGGGAGATTTTAAAACGTTTTTTCGGACAGCCTCACGTAATTGCTCGAGAAACACTAGAGGACTTATTCAGTGCTGTGAATTTTGAGTATATTGACGGGGACCAACTATCAAATTTGGCTATTAAGATGGAAAACTGTGCCATGGTCTTGGAGCAGATGAATTATACTTCTGATCTAAATTCCTTAGTTACCTTGGAAAGAATAGTGAGACTCTTGCCTCAACCTATGCAAGCCCAGTGGGCGGACTGGGTGGATAAATTGACTGAAGATAACAGGGAACCGACCTTCGACGAGCTCACTCAGTTTATCGCATCGCGTGCGAGAGTGGCTTGTAGTAGATTTGGACGGTTAGCAAACCGTTCTAGAAAAGGACATAACGTAAAGACGAACTGTCACGTGCAATCAGAGCAAGGGAATAGTTCGACAATGAAAACTAAATGCAGTATGTGTTCCTACGACCATGCCATTGATAAATGTCCACAGTTCTTAGCGCTTACAGTTCAAGACCGATGGTCTCACGCTAAAAGCAAGGGTATCTGTTTCGTCTGTCTTAGACAAGGACATAAGGTTAATGAATGTAAGATGACAAGGCTCTGTAAGGTTGACAGTTGCGAGAGGAGACATCACGCTCTGCTGCACACTGACTCGACAAGCAACGTCGTAAATGATAAGCCATCATGCCCGGAATATAGGAAAAGAGTTGTTAATTATATTAGTAAGGTACAGTCGTTAGAGAACGAAATACTTAAGCCTTATGATGTAGAGTTTTTAGATGTCCATTCAAGCGATAAATCATTATCAGTAGACGACAAGGTGGCTATAAAGATTGTGGAAGGTGGCACGCGCTTCGGCAACGGTCATTTTGTAGTTTCTATACCGTGGAAAAAGAATCCAGATATGAAAGTGGATAATTATGAAGTAGCAAACCGTAGATTACAAAGTTTGAAGGGTATGTTGTCGAAGGATGTCAGTCTGCACATCAAGTATATCAAAAGTACTGAAAGTGATTTTACTAAGACTTATGCGGAGAGGGTCTTTGAAATATATCTGAAGTCTTATTTACCTCATCATGCAGTATTAAACATGAAAAAACCAGATCTTAGAGTGGTCCTTGATTGTGCCGCCCAGTTTGCAGGGGTTCCCCCAAATGATATGATTTATCAAGAACCCGATACCACTGCTGAGTTAAGGTGTATATTAATAAGTTTTCGCAAGGAGGCAGTTGCAATTTCTGCAGATGTTGAAGAAATGTTCATGCAAGTGAAGGTCCCTGAGTCTGATCGAGGAGCTTCAAGATTTCTGTGGTGGCAGGAGGGAGACATGTCGAGGGAATCATCCGAGTTTCAAATGACATCCCATCCACTTGATGCTACATCATCGCCATTTTGCGCGAACTTTGCCCTGAATAAGACGGCCCAAATATTCTCTGACGGTTACGATGGTTATGTTGTAGATGATGTCAAGAATAACTTCTATGTTGATGATTGCTTGATATCCATTCCCACTTGTGATCAAGCAAAGAGTTTCGTTAAGCATATAAGTGAATTATTATGTAGAGGAAGTATACAAAAAATGACCGATCTTGAATCTTGGTTCAAATGTCCTATGTTATTGCATGGTGAATTTTATATAACAATCACTGACTGTACGGAACCTACTCTTGACGATATTGAGTTTAGAAAAACTGCTGTGGTTAACTTGAGTAGTATAAAGTACAACAAGACACCTGTTCTCTCTTATTATTCCGAGTGGTTGAAATTAGTCAGAGCTGTAACCTGGTTTAGAAGGTTCATCGAATTCCTGATGGTACTTCGTTTACCGAGTTGTGAAGGATCCGTTCATCTAGGATGTTTAAAGGTCAAAGAGCTTGAGATTGCCAAGCGTAAGATTTTATTGATGGTTCAGAGAGAAGTGTATGGAGAATTACTTAGTGAATTTAAAAACAGCAGTAAAGTAGTAAGCCATGATGATCTGAAAGGTTTATCGTTGATAATGCTTGATGGGTTACTCTGCGTTGGAGGTCGACTAAGATACTCAGATTTCCCAAATGCTTTTAAACATCCAGTAATTTTACCCAGTCGACACTTAGTGACGGAAATGATAATCAGACATTGTCATAAAGAACAAGGACACATAGGAAGATCATTAGAAAAAGGGTATGGATATGTGTTTACTTGTTTGCAAACATGGGCAGTACATATTGAAATGATGTGTAATTTGATTACTGATTCATTTTTAATGGCTCTATTACGTTTTATTGGAAGAAGAAGGAAACCTCCGGAGATTTACAGTGACCGTGCGTCAAGCTTTATCGAAGGCTATTCTCAAGCGTGGAGATTTAATCCACCGACAAAGGCTGTGCCAACTCTTCAATGACTTCAAAACACAAGGTGGTTCAGCATCCGGAATGTTATTGAGAATGCGAAAGTTTATTAGACAACAGATTCTCAGGTATCGAACCCTTTAGTATTAACTGTTTCTTTTATTGTTTAGCACGCTACTTTGCGTTAGAAAAACTTCTGACTGTATATCACAGGCAGCACCGTTTGAGATATTTTGTATTTTTGATGTCATTTGTTCTGTTTTCTAAATTAGAACCGTCTATATTGAGCACAGAATTTGTGTTTTGATGTAATATAATACGAGTATCTCAAAAACGCCTTGTGAGCTATACAGTGGAACGTGGTCTGATCTAATCGAATAAATTTTATGTTCTTCAGTCCGTTGTTCCATCCGAATATTGGTTGTTCGGTCGCTGCAAGGGGCCTGTTTAGACAGATCTTCTTGTCTAAACTAGCTTCATCACCAGGACTCTCATCACTGAGGTTTATTCTGTCAAAGAAAATCCGAGAACAGCACAAAATTGTTACGGACCTCTACCATACTCTGACTCGTTGCCTTCTTATTCGTCATAACTGTAGACAACCACGGGGCTCCTCGAAAGAGTTCTCCCCGAAGACGATCTGTCTGCAGATAACAGGACAAATCTTTGGTGCTGGTACGACAATCAGTGCGGACAATCTTCTCGAAACTGAGGAGAACCCGAACTCCTAGCCATACGACAAAAAAACTTTTTCGGGAAACTTCCAAGCCGGCACGCATTAAGGAAAACCATGACTGTGCGATCATAGCCGTTTGTTATACACCAGTGATGTGATAAAAAATGTCAACACTGGCGCAGACGTAAGCGCTCTTCCTGCAAATTTCAACGCCCAACTGCAAAAAGCAGTTTTTAAAACAAAGGTATCCGAAATCTGAACAGCAAAGTGGCGGCCATTCTGGATTGCCCGGAACCGACCACCATCAAGCAAATATGAACGTACAATGGCCTGGCAAGTTTCTATGGAAGGTTCATACTAAACTGCGCATCCCTTATGAAACTGCCAACCGACCAACTTCGTGAAAATGCGAAATTCATCGATCTGCACGACACCGCTCGACAAGCATTCTCCACAATTAAGGAACTCGTCGTTAAAGCAACGATGCTTGCGCCACAGGACACTAAAGCACCCATTAGTATTGCAGTAGACGCATCCAACTCAGCAATCGCAGGAGTCTTACAACAATGGGTCAACCACTCGCGGCAATCTTTGGCATTCTTCTCTAGACGGTTTCTAGGCGCTGAGTCGAGGTATAGCACTTTCGGTAGGGAACTCCTAGCTATGTATTGTGCTGTACGGCACTTTCAACACTGTTGAAGAAGGAGAATTCACTCTTTCAAGAGATCACAAACCTCTTAGCTTCTCTTTAAGCCAGTGACAGCATGGGGCAGGAGGATTTGTTTTTGTCTGTTGACCTGAACTAGATGTTGCTGGGGCAGATTTATGTGGGTTGGGTAGTTATTGAACTACATGAACTTCTGTATGATCTGAACCACCACACTGGACCATCGTGATGTCACGCTGTAGATTGATTAGACGTTGATATTCCTTTGCAATATCATTAAGAGTTAGTTT